CATACGGGACAGTGGCCCGTCCCCTTATCCCTGTAACATATCTGTTGTAGACCAGAGTTCCAGCGTGCATTTCTGGAAGTAATTGATGGTCGACAGATGCAGGGGTCCCCGAATCTGGTTGTCAGACCGAACGAAACCCCAGACCCAGTTGAAGCTGCCGAGAAGATCAAATACGGTTCCTCGCTCTCGCGTTGTCTGTCGACTGGCGCGGTTGGCTCGTGGATGCTTTCTTGTAGCACCGAATATGTTGTGATGGCTGGAGCAGGAAGTGTACCAAAGGGGAGCGCCGAGGACGTCGCTCGAAAGAAGAGAGGGGCAGTGTAATGCTTTGTTTATGCGACTATCTGACGTTTGGCGAGCACTTTAGGACTTGTCTGGGCCCTGTGCACGTGGGCTGGCCTTCGGGTTACGCTCAGGCCCATTTCTCCTATTGCTTTCGGAATACATGTATTCAACCTCACTTATGCCTTCTACTACCCCATTTGGAGCCTCGGGACGCTACAGCGACAACCTGGTCTCCCTCCTCGGAAATATTTCCGCGCAAGACACCATTATATATCCGTCGACACGAGAAAACGCCCACAAGCCAGCCGCAACAATTATCGGCTACCATGAGGATAATGTTATGCATTTGTCCATCTTAACAGCTTCAACCTGATCTGGGACCACGTTATCATTGAGATCAGACAGTTACAGACTTGCCCATGACTAATAGTTTTAACACCAGCTTAGAACAGATTCGTGACGCGAAAAACGAGACCGAATGCAGCCCCATGTGTTTCAGGTTATAGTGCAGCATCAATTCCAACATTTATACGCAGATGCGGTGGGAGAACTCCGATACGTAGCCCTTGCAAATGGTCCAACTCGGTGTCGTTTCAGTTGTTAATAAGTTGCCCGCGGAACACGAGTATGAGACATGCCAGGCACAGGCGTTGCTCACAGGCCTTCCGTTGTGGAGTTGGAGACTGCTCCGTCTGCCGTAAAAGCACTTAATTCACATAATTGAAGTTTGTTAGAAACAGCGGAAATTATGGTTGAAGCAGTACCAAAATCGGGTTTGCCTTCTGCTGTCACTATTGCATCGTTTTGAGGCATCCCACTAGACTAGAGAAGGCAATAAGTAGGGTAGAATATATTTGTTTAATGTAAAGTAGCAAAAAGCTTTAGCTAAGACTCAGTTCGAAGGCCAGCTTACATGCAATAAGTAAGTACCAATGTAACTGTCATTCATAAAGATGACCAAATGCACAAAATATCACAATGAGTATCCTCAAAATACATTTGAATTTCTCAATGTAGTTTTGTGTCTTCTTAATACAGCTAATTACACAATTTATCCTCTTCCTTACCCTCCGTAATTTCTCCTTTGCAGCCCCTGCAGAAGAATGCAAATTTCGGGAATATGATTCCGTTTTATGAATACAAAGCAGTTGGTACCTTAGTTAGGAAGAAACGGCAAACACTCAACTCATGCTTTCACTCTACGTGCTTGACTGTCCCATATTATGTACCAAATCTAGTGTTTTAGCATGGTTTTCCTGCATATAACAAGTTTTTCTCTGATAATGCTTGGAATAGTATAAGGACCGCAAACCTGCGTCGCAGGTGAACAGGTTGGAATTAATAACGTTTACTGCCTAGTAAGTTTACACCTTGAGCATTGTGGGCAGCTACTTACCATCAGTTCGTATTCATTAAATGCGCCATATTTTGCCACCATGACATCAAATCATTCCCAAAAACAAAGAACTCCAAAAGCCTGCTATAGGATGTTGATACTTAGGCTGCAGTAACACCAAACGCAACGCTTCCTAGTGAATACGAGATATCTATGAGCATATCCTAAAGCTTTCCAAGACCTATTCATGGATGATAGATCGCTGCTAACAGCAAGTCGAGCGCCCACTATTACTAGCTACTTGATTGTTGTAAAATACACAGAGCGTCCAACCAGTCAAAAGTTATTATAGCCCCTAAGTCACTGTATGTCTAAGTAATGGTGCGGTTGCACTGTCCTTAGAATTTTGGGCATTTGAAGACGAAAGTGGGACAAGTGGCATGGTCCATAGCAGGCTTTTACAATGGAAATGTGAAGAATAGCCAAGGAGTTCGTTTCTGTTTTCCTTTGTTTATTCTACTACTTCCTTCAGAAATAACAGCCACTTTAGCAGCTTCTTGCTTGTTCCAGTTGGGCTTGATTTAGGGACGCGAAAAAGTGCCTATAAAAATTTTGTTCATGTGACCACCTGATGTTTGGCGGTTACTTTTCTGATTTTAGGGCTCTGGGCCCGGCTCAAGTCTAATACATTTCTCCTCCTAGGAATGCAATTTATATTCGTACCGACTGGTACTAGCAAGTATTTTAGTTTTTGAATTTGCTTTTACGTTTTTATCTTGTGCGTTAATATTCCCCTGACTCGAAGACGGTTAATTGTTGAAAGGTGAAGTATTGCCACACAGCCGACTGGACACCAATGGGAACGCATAATTTAAGCTTTTTTCTTTACTTTTAGTCAAGTACCTTAGCCTTAACAAAATTTGCAAACATTTTTAAAAGCGAGCATGATAAGTTAGAACAACCAATCAGAAACTTAGTCAACTAACTCCGTGTTTGTTCATAGGCGCTCGCTTTTGATCGCTGCGATTCCTGGATTACCATGACTACGGTAGGAGATGCTGTGCCATATAGACTTGTTCTTAGGTCACAATAATTCATTTTGCTTCGGAAAAAATTTTGTTAACACTGAATGACGTGGCGTCCACTACCAGCATTCGCGTCTTAAAGGAGAGGCTCGTATCTCACGGTAACTTAGTCTCCGTTTCTGTCACGAACGTAAATAGACAATAAGTACAAGCTCAATCGCATTTCACTTCGCTTGGAACCTCGTAAGTCCATATTCCTTTGATAGGTTGCGCGACTAATTCCATCACTATAGCATGGCTCTCCCTAGCCTCTAATTCATGGAAGCGGGTTAGGTTAGGAGTGGCGCATTGACATTCTTCACTTTCGTTTTTTGCGCTGCTGCAGGCGGGAAAATCCTTCCGAATACCTTTCGTCTCAATGAAGTCGAAGGACTGGACAAGGTTTCGGAGGTGCGCCTCTTCTACAAGGATCTCGGCCCCCAGGTGGGGTGGAGTACTGTCTTCTACTTAGAGTACGCAGGTCCCCTAGTGATCTACTCTGTGGTTTGGGCGATGCGTCAGCCTGGATGTTCTCTCAATGTTCTCTCACCAATGCGAACCGATGGAGAACTGCGATGTCTTGCAGGACTGTGCTACGTGGGTCATTTTATGAAGCGTCTGCTGGAGACGCGCTTCGTGCATCGCTTTTCTCACGCTACTATGCCTCTGGCTAGCCTCTTCCGTAACTGCCTATATTATTGGCTCTTCGCGCTCTCAATCGCATACTTCACTACACATCCTCTCTACACACCACCTTGTGAGTGAGGAACCAGTAATTGATATTAAGTTTTTTTGCAACTAAAAACAGGTATCGGATGGCTTTTGCATGCTATTCGGTTAGAGTCTGGTGATTACTGACATGTTGAAATCAGACCATTAACCTACTCAGTCTACTATGTGTTTCAGCCGTTTAATTGATCGACTATTTGCAATGTTCGACGGCCATAGCTGTAGTCTACACAGCTACATTCCAGCATCACTGATGCAGTCATTTTTTTGCTTTGGACGACGTTATCGATGATATGTTAGCTAAATGAGAGGTGCTGAATTTGTGGATGCTTGTTTGGCTGGCAACTGTACGGACATACAAGTTGGTCGTAGAATGAGTAGCTTCTTGGAATTATGAAACAATTCACCACCCGAGAATCGATGAGCTGTCTTCTGTTCCCTTTATGGTGGATTTGGTCGAAATCTTTTAGTCATTGTATCTGATGATATTTCAGCCATTGTGATTGGAATTTCAATGCATATACAATTTTGGTAACCGGATGATAGAGGACGTTTAGCTGACATTTACTAAACGCCATAAATACGCTAGAATCGCGACTCATACCAGCAGATTAGGAAAGGACAGTGTGCGAATCCTGGTTCAGGTATTCTTATTACAAATTCTTTCGCTGATTTAGCTCGCAAGTAGGTGAACTTGAATTTGGCCCGCGTTTTGGTGATGGGACTTACCTTTTTGGTTTTTAATTTTAGCCTTCGGCTGGCCTCAAGTGTACGCTGGTTTGGGTCTGTTCATGGTATGTTATTATTACCTGGCCTCTACCGAGCCACTATCTGCTACAACTTCCACCTTATACCAGACATAAATGAACTTAACAAATAAGAACTCTCACTAAAACCTTGTGACTCGTCACCTATTGGCTTCACTTTGGGTTCCATTGCCTGCCCTCTCCTTGAACTTTTGCATTAAGTCATTTGGAATATGTGGAATCTACAAGGATGGCAACTTTGGTTTAACAAGATTTAGACACCGCCAGTCGAGGTCGGGGTGAAGTGAATTTTGCGTACATGGAGGAATGTGCGACAGTGAACTGGGCTGGGGATCCAGTCACTTGCAGCCAGGAAATCTTACTTCGCGTTACTTACTTGAAGAACTTCTAAGCTATCTTGCCTCAAACCATTTAAACCCACGGTTTGCGTCTCAGAGTCTTTTTTTGCGCTCTGTGAATTGGTCAGCTGTGATTTGTGGCGAAATACAATGAGTGCTTGCACCTTGTGTCTTGCTTCCCACAGCCGTGCTTCTTATGCTCCTTGTTTACTTTCTTTAGCTCGGTGAATTGGGTAACTTCTGTTGCCACATTGCCCTTCGAAATCTCCGACCGCCAGGGTCTACGTTGCGTCAGATGCCGCATCCCGTACCCAGCTCTCCGCTCACTTTTCTCTTCAAATATGTTGCTTGCCCCAATTACACTTATGAAACGCTAAGCTGGATCGGCTTCACCGTGATGACCCAAACCCTCCCAGGTTGATTTCTACTATCGAATTAGTTTAAGCAGAAACTGCTGCGAGCTTTTTGATCCGCTGGAGGAATCGCTTCTACCTCCTGTGGCCAAGCAGGCTCGCTATACAGACGTCTGAGCTGTCGGTTATGCTCCGAGACTGGCTTACACGTTTTTGCGTTCGTTGTAGGTAGCTTATTTCCTTTTTAAGCCACTGAGACAGGTTCAATAGTTCGGCTACTCTTCTGCTATGAGGCTGTCTCAGGCTTTTTGTTTTTCAATGCCGCGATTGAAGTGGTTATTTTTCGCGTCCTTTCAGCTGCAGCGTTCACAGTGTTGGGGTTCTGGACGATGGCGCAATGGGCACGAAACAAACTGCGTGCGTATCGTAGCGAATTCGCCTCCTGTCCAAAGGGGTTGAAGGCTATTGTGCCTCTTGTCCTCTAGTCTGCTTCTCTTTGTACTCACTGGCCTGTCACTGTTAAGCCGGCTCATTACACTGATCATGTACGCTTGTTTCTGTGTGGTGTTTGGTTGTTTCGTTTATCGTTTGTAAGTCAGTGAATGGTCTCGCAATAGTGTTGTCCTTGCCCCTGAGTGGTGTACGGGCAGGCGCTGGTCGTCTGGCGTAATTTGGTTTGGTCGGCGGTTTGGGGACCTACCTTCGGCATTTTTGGTGTTTCTTGGTCACTGCAAGGTATTTTTAAGCGCGCGGTGGGGTGGGTCGGGGGGCTTGCGGTAGCGCCTGTGTGTGGTAGTAGTGGGCTTGGGTCGCGTCGTGCATAAAATTTTTGCTGCCCAAGTTTAGCCGCAAAAACCTATAAGCAATATCAATGGATGAGTATGCTAAAAATAATTCACCGATTATTCCCTCCTGCTTTAGTGCTCCTTACTATGACCAAAAGTCTTATTTGTTAAAATGGATCGTGTGACACCTAGGTTGGTGTTTGGACCACGATGTTTGCGCTCCTATTGGTTGGTATGAGTCACGGCTATCGCATCGAGGATTTTTACGTCTATGGGTGGTCAACTTCCGGGTGCGAAACTGCAATTGGCGTTCGGAAGCATGGGATCTTTTTCATGTTTGACGTTGGTATTGCGCCATCCTGGTCGGTAAATGCTGAACATGTATTCATTAGGTAAACTGTATCATTTGATAAAGTCAGTTTCCTTAAGTCACGGTCATATTGATCATATTGGAGCTATTTGTCAACATATGAGAAGGCGGGAGTTAAATAGGCTACCCCCTGCTGTATATTATCTTCTTCCTCAATTAATTGAACCAGTTAGGGCTCTCTGTCGAGCGTTTGGCCAATTGCAAGATGGAGAAATGGATTTCTTGTCTCATACTCGCTTTGTGGAAATGTTGCCGGGTTTAACAGTAGAGGTGGGTACAGTGAAATAAACTTGGAGACTGTTGGCTTTTACGTTGATGATTTTAGGATCTGATAACAATGTCTTATGCTTTGCTCTGTCCAGATAAATAGAAGGTGGTCGGTTGAATGCTTTCGGACTGATCATGTTATCCAAAGTCAGGGATATATTCTTTTCTATCAGAATTACCAGACGGGGATCCGCACTCCTGAAATTGCATATACAGGTTATTTAAGTCCTTTTATGCGCAAACCAATGTTCCTTAGGATTACTAGTGGAAAGATGTGTGCTCACCCTTTTTTTGATTGATTTCAGGAGACACTCGCTTTACAATATTCACTGAACCAGTTCATCGAGATATCTTAAGAGTTAGGCTCTTGATAAGCGAAGCCACTTATTTGGATGGCAGTGTAAGAATGAAAAAGAGTGCAGAAAAGTACGGTCACAGTTGTATCCAGGATTATGCTGATAACGCATCCTTGTTTGAGGTGAGTGTGTTTATATACGGTAAGAACGACTGCGTTTTCGATGTATTCTTGCTCGTTAAACTGTACAGGCTTGTTTTTTTTTGACGTAGGACGTGGGCGCATTATTTCTCATCCACTTCTCCAATCGATATCCTGTGCAAGTAATTATGGATCGGGTCTATGGCTGTCTCCCAACGGAGCTAGGAAGGAAGGTGTATTGCTCCTTAACTGCAAAGAGAGCAGCCAGACTTGAGCATAGCGCTCCTACACCCTTATGGTAACTTTAGAAATTTTTAATGAATTGTGGTGATTTTGCGTGGCATTGATATGCGGGATGTAACTTTATATTATTGTGATGTGATTATTGGATGTGAGTTGTTTTTTTGCATTTTGGAGGCGTCATTTGGCTACCTTTGTGTCTGCAATTGCGGCAGTTGAACGTGTTACCTCCGCTGGCGTTGATCGACCTCGTTCTTTGAAGCGTCGAAAATGATTCGAATTGCTTTTAGCTTAGTAGTAGGTAGGGGCTCACCGCTTGCAGTTGTTTTATGAACTGGTTAATCGTACTCGATTATGTTGAGCATTCACCATCTGCATGTTTTAAATTTACTCTGCTGTTGCTAGTAACTGATCTTAGCTAGCTGTCTTAAAAGCTGCAATACAAAGCTCAGAGGATTAAGTTTTCGTGTCTGATAGGTGTCAAAGTTTGAACATTGAGGTCGGGAGAATATTGCTGACGAGATAAATGAGAACTCAAATTGGGTTCTCATTTGACTGAATGGGACACGTAGTCTTTGGTCTTGAACTCAAATATTCGTTTTGTTTGCCCGAATTTATCTTCCTTTGAGGCACTATGACACAGAAGAGATCATGTTCGAACAGATTGTATTCCATGTTTGTGAATTTACGGTTCTATTATTTGTGATGAATACGATCGAGAATCAGACTAAGTATTACCGGAACAAATTACATTTGTGCTTAGTTGGGCTTTTTAAGGACCTTAAAAGTGGTTAACGAAGCTCCACTTGTCCACACATTGGAAGTTGAGGTGCCATTTGGGGACGTTGGCATGCAAGGAGGTTTGAAGGCATGACCGCACGGGGCTCCGTGTGATAGTGTATTTATACTTAAGCAGAATACCAATTCGCCTCAAGCTTCACTACAGCTATGGTTACTGAATGCAGCAACAAAATTTTGGAGCGTGGAATGTGAGCAGTAGTATGAAGGACTTGAGCATGACCATAATTGTTTGCAGTTTGATTCATTCGATGACTTCTCGATTCAGTGTGGGTCGCAAACCACGTGGTCTTTGAAACATTTTACAGAACGAGAATACCAGTGTGTCTCGAACTCTCACGGATAAAAGTGAAATTAAGCATATCGTTAGGGGGTACTAGTTGTGCCTAATTGCGCATTTGTCGGCGTTGCCAGTTCTAACTCGTTTTACCTCGGCGTTGGTGAAGTGGGCAGCGTTACGGCAAAGAAGTGGTTACACAAACAACTGTCATTGGGCTAGCCAGTTCCGTTGCAATAAAGTCGTCATATTGACCATCACAAACATTAAGGAATGCGGAATTAGGACGCTTTACTGAATCTGCGGTAACGTGACTGTTGTTGTAAGGTAAAATGATGTGAACCACTGGTTAACTGTTTCGCTGTTTTAATGCAAATCTCTAAGTGCCACGATTCTATTTGCCATCCTTTTGCATTAAAGCGTTAAATATGTGTGTGTGTGTGTGTCGATGAGGCTTTAATGATAGCAGTGTCTAAATAGCCTCCCTCTTAAACACCTTTTTCCTCCACGTCATTCACTAGCTGGCCGGTTTGTTGACCACCTTCTCAGTCTTCTGGTTTGTATCTGCCCTTTGCAGGGAATGCTAACAATTGAAGGTGATGACTCTCTTTATAAATCAATGCATTCGTCTTATTTTGCTGCAGAAAATGGGTAACAGACACAACTTCCTACGTGGTACGCAATTTCATGATGCTTCTACAAGTTCGCCTTTTACTATCGTCCACCACCATCTGTCGGCAGATTTGCTGTCACTTATCTGTTCCGCAGTAAATGTGGTAGTTTCTCGCCAAGGTTAACCCAAATGGTGCTTGAAGAAACGGGACACAAAGAGAAAAGTCAGGCCTTAGATACGACAAAGTCAAGGTTTTTGGAGAAGAGGATTAAAATGTCGAACGAACAAGCCGGAAGCGAGTAGAAGAGGCTACAGCAGTGGCAATGGTGGAGACGTGAAATCAGATGCCCAAGGGCCCAAGATGCAAGCTGAACTCATGACGCTCTGTGTTGCAACGAACGCCTACCCAGAATCCATGCCATCGTCCAAATCGCTCGCATTATCACGTTCGCCTGTATTCATGAGATCTGTTTAAGAAGTCACCTCGACTTGATGAACAAATCGGCCAAACGAATTACTAATTTAAGGCTGTTTCTTGTCTGTTATCGAAATCATACTTTAAAAGCCAAGATTGGGGAACCACTTTAGTTATTTACTTGATGCTGTTAGCCGTGCTGGCCCATTTGATTTTCCAGTTAACTATTTGGGTTTCCAAGTTTGTGGTTTAGCATTTCCTTCACCAAGGGAAGGAGCAGAGTCTCTGGGCTGCAAAACAGACTGCTTGGACGATGTCGCTTTACACATGGAAGGGAGTTTCGTAAATCGTGGTCGTCAAAGGCGTAAACCCTTATTGGCACCTGCAATGCACATGGTCTTCAAAGTTCAAAACACTCATAATAACTAAAGTCACTCATTTTGGTGGAAGGATTTGCCTCTTCTTGGACCCCATTCAGTGTTAAATACTGGTAAAGAGTCCTGATATTGGCTTTGGTGACGATGTTTTCCTGCGATTGAATGCTACATCAGTTGACCATGCTCAAACAAGAAGTCTTCTGGTCCGTTGGGGATCCACCGCTGATCGCGACTGCCATTGGTTGTGGTAATAAAACCTCGCCTCAAGTTTTGTACTTGATTGGTAACTACCAGATCTTTATTTCTGTTATGAAAACAACAATAATTAGTATGCCAGTCATAAATTCAATTGTGAAGTGTGTTGTGGGTGGTTACGTCTTGGTGATCACACGGTGCTTACGACAGCACATCTGTTTGCTTACGGCGAAAGACATGCTGCCACTGCAACCATCACTAGTGCTTCAGCCTCGGGTTTTGTGGAGTTGTCCAGTTTGCGTTTTCTTAGGGCTCACCAAGCCATTGCCTTATCATCAAAGCTTATGCTCCCAAATCTTCATCTGTACTATGTTATTTTCCTTTCAAATGTTACTAAACTCAGACTGTATTTGAACTCACAACTTACCTTTTGTTAATGCTTTCATTTGCTAACATCAATTTGATTACCTATTACTACAAAATGGAGTTTCGATTGTCATCTTTTTGCCATAAAAGTATCTAGCTTAAGGAGGCTCAAAGAAGGCAAAAGAATGTAATTCAAAAGTAGCATGGTAGTAGGTGAGCGAATTTACTCAACTGCGAAGCTTCACGTTTGATCAACCTTCGTAAAGACCGCCGGATATAGTGTACAAGCCTGAGTCTTGGTTGTGCTTGCGTTGGTGTTACGAAAGTGTGACACTGCCAAATGCTATATTAATTCTCAGTCATCGGCATTCCAATTTCTACGAGACCTTTCACTTCATTAAAGAATGCTCAACTGCGGAGACTCCACGCCTAAACAAGCTGAATGTTTTGGTGCATTGCCGTTATAATACTTAAGTTGATTAAAAGCGCCTTATGAGGGAGAAGCGAGAGTTCATTTGAACGCTTTGATAGCAGAGACCGTCAACTTTGTTCCATAACAGGATAATACGTCCCTACTCTTCCCTGCACTCCGTCGCTCATACCATTTGCTGTAGCTATCAATAGACATCGCGAAGAATCCAGACGCTTTGGGAGATCGAGAAGCAGTGAAGCTACAGCTACCTGTCATATTAATGCGCAGGTAGTAATTATAAAGTGGATGAAATCGTTTCCACATCTCTGAGATTCAAAGTAGATCTAATTATTTATTTATTTCATATACGTAATAGAGGGTATTTTCACAAGCGCAACGGAACGTCTGCAGGTTCCGATTAGCTGACCACTTATGATGTTTTGTAAAACTAGCTTAAATGGCATGTCCTAGTTAAGGCACCGATTACATTTAGACTTTTTGTTGGATATTTAATGGTTAATATACAGTACCTCATCAGCATAGTATCACCAATTAGCCCATGTTTGTAACTGCAGTATCTGTACAATACTCCTCCTTTGCACTAATGTCGAACAGTTGATCCATAAGCTTTATCCAGTGGTTTATCCACAGAATTAGGTTGAAGGAGGTGCATTGCCTTCGAAAATAGCTAGCTCATCCTTTTTCGAGCTACCATAGTCTAACTGTTACGAAAAGTGCAATTAAGGCCAGGATAAAAACTATGAGGTATTTATGCAGAATTACTTAGTTTATTTGACATTTAGTATGCGTGATGGTAATTTTGGAGGATGCCATGCATCTACCCTAGGGTCTGGTCTTTAAGGCAGGACAAAGTCTGGTTTATGCCCTTTGAGCCTGTATTTAGACATTTTTAGTCATGTCCTATGCTCACTATCACCAAATGGAAGGCCTTGGGACTGTGCGTGCATTCTGTAATTATCTTAGCCGAGTTAGGCGACATTTCAGCGCTTACACTGCTACAAAAGTCAAATATCTGTGCTGAACTTACAAAAAAATGCGTTACTGTTGATATTTTTACATAAGAAAAAATTGTTTTAATTGTCTATTTGTGAGGGTTCATGCGTTTAGGAAGGTCGACTTTTATATAAAAAGGGTAGCGAGACGACTTTTATCGCGCAATGGATGTGTACTTCTTGAGCGTTGCTAGCCTTTGCCTGACGTTGCTGATTGTCATACCTTCATGTGAAGCTAGTGGTAAAGCCAGTTTTCAACTTCTTCCCATGCATATTTTCTATGCGAATATATTATTGATCACTCACAATAAATTGCTGTTTAGGCTTGTGATTCGCCCTTCACTGCATACCAAAGGGTTTTTAGTCTTTACTAATTTTTTTAAACTTGGGTGGGTTTCTCGTAAACTCTTCTATTACGGATAAGGCATGCATCAGTCGTGCTCTCTTCAAACATCTATCAACTGATTGGATAGTGTAGAAGGGCTAGTCTCATGGTTCATTAGGGTAAATAAATGTTTCTGTCTAACAATTTGTTTAAGAGTTTCAAAAATGTGTTAAAAAGTTCTGTAAATTTAAAGGTGTGCTCAACTGCCATTAGTTTGATTAGATTCTAGAATGCTGTTTATTTGTCACAATTTCAGACAAACTAAGAACATTTTGATGATGATTTGGTAGATTGTTATGCGTTGGCCCTTATAAACATCCTTTCAAAACACCTTACTTGCTAGTATACACCTTCTGCTACAAGATTAGAGTTCCCAAAGCTGTTGTCTGTAATTATTTTCCCAAATTTATTTCTTAATGCTAGTACTTGTTGTAAAGCATTGTACAATCGCTAACACAAAGTTTTTCTTTGAGATTTTACAGGGCCTGCTGGGGATGGTCAGTACTCGAAGTGAGTATGGCGTTGGTTTTTGTCAATTTATTATAGCAATCATTAAAATTTGGTTATAGTAGAAAAGATTTAACAATCGAAGTGGTTGTTTGGTGTTTACTTCCTTAAACTGCACCACCAAGTGCAATGACGTCACAGAGTTTGCTAACACGACTGAGTAATTGATTGACATGATCGTAGGGGAACGATAAGTCTAAATTATTTTAAACTGCGTACTCATTTTAACTATCAAAAGTCTTGCTAGTTTTATTTCAGCTAAGGCCGTAAGACATTCATTATGCACACCTGGAGAACTAATTAAAGCATTGTTACATAGTTAGAATTTACGTTAATATTGTAAAGCATCCTGCAGTTGGAGTGAAGAATCAAGCACATATATTTTAACCTTTAAGTTATTAAATTTTATGGTTAAGAGTGCATTTAGCTCGTCAATCGTTTGTTTGAGCATCATGAAATAAATAATCTCATGTAGCGGGGTGTGCTCCATCGTAATGCGTCTTGTAATCGGTATCTACGCAAAGAGTAGTTCTTGAATCGGAAGGTAGGAGTGATTTCGCGCAAGTGGATACACACCCTAATTGACCATGCCAAAAACGAACAAGTCGGAATTTGTTGCACTTTGTTAGACTTAACCCCTTAAAATGAGCACCAAGACGACGAAATTGCTTTGAGTCAACGTGAGGGGCATGCTGACCAGTTTCATGGCAGGCTAAGGCCATTCACACGTCCACGCTTCATAGCGTGGGAATGCGGTGGTGCTACTTAAAAGGGTGGCTAGCAGACTGCCAGCTCAAAACATCGGTCTAAAATCTAGTCAGATCGTGTTTTTATGAAATGACTTAGTTTTGCATTTTAGTACCATTTTGACCTTCGCACCCAAATGGGAGTCAGAAAGTTAAAACATTATCTTTATTTTTGACGTAAAAGGAATCCAGAATTATCTGACTTATGTATCCTATGCCATTTGTTCAGTTGCTTGTTTAATTTTGTTTCAGTTGCCCCAATGAGATACCAGGTTTGTTCTCCTCAGTCTAACATCCACCTTTACTGACTTTAACTTGTTTTTGCCTGACAACCGATGATTGAGGTCTCATTGAGTCGGTGTGTGAAAACAAAGACTGCTTTTACCATTCGTGTTTTCGATCGCCTGTGATGGTTGGCAATACTTTAATATTGTACATCGAATTTGCTCAACCTGACGCAGGAGAGTTTTATGATCGAGGTTGATCAGTAGTAGGCTGTCAGATAAACAGAGAGGTTCTTGTGATGGCAATCCAAGGCTTCCACCACTGCTTTCGCAATTTATTGTGGCAAACTCTGGGAGAACGATAAGCTGTACTATGTGAATTGCCGGTATACATTTATCAGCTCCTCCACCATATGTACGGACGACTATGTAAAAGGAATCTTTTAGAGGAAAGAAAGCGTTGCTGGATGCACAAGGGATGATCTCTCACCCTACAGTCGCAAATGGAGCTGTGAGCCATCGATACAGACCTCTGTATGGACGTTAACACCAACATCTACTGAATCAACAAACTGTCTGCTAGTGTCAGTCAAATCAAAATATCACGGGACCGCTTCTCCACATTGCAAAATTGTGTGCCTGTAGGCCTGTGTGATGTGTAACTTCGGTATTGGTTTGATTTTGACGGATGGTGTGGTTTGTAATCTGTGACAAAAGTAAGGATTAAAAAATGCTGAAGTCTATGGGGCCTGCTAACCGTCGCTAATAGAATAAATGACCATCTGAAATTCATAGGAGCCTAGGAATAGTTGTTTGAGGCATGAGACGGGTTGCTGATGCAGCGTCATCATACTCACTTCTCTCACTCATGAGAATCATTGAGGTTTCGTCGCATTGCCTCGTGGTGAGGAGCGTTGCTATTCTTGCATTCAATTTTGTTTCCTGTCACAAACTCCTAACTTATTTTGTACAAGTTGTCGCCTAACCACCTCTTATGTTTTTTCTCTTAATTAGTTCCTCAGAACTTAAGTATTGTGAGGAGGTTTAAGGATAGCATCAAAGCCGAATGGAGTCTTCTCGATAATATTCCTGAAGGACCACCTTATACTTACTTCGTCTTTGCCAAACGAATCAATTTAACGGAGGGTGGTATACAAAACTGCTGCTCAACGAGTTCGAATTCCTGCCGTGTAGACCACCTTCTTCACAACACTGCCTACAACCTCTCTATTCAGGCATGCATCACTGAATGTAGTGTCTGCAGCAAAGAGTCAGCGCCGTTGCTCAACTACACCAAGCCTGGTGGTGAGTCGTCAACAATAGTTTACAGATTACAAAGACTCCAATAAATGGAAGCACAACCTTCTAATTGAAGGCAATCGTAAGATGTGGACATCAGATCTGCAACAATCACGTTCAAAGCAGTCGAATAGAGGAGCTTGTCAATTAGAATGTTTGTGAAACGAAATGATTTTAATTCACGAACACGAAGACAATTCGATTGTCTGATGGTGTAAACGCAAGGTATCAAGAGGAGAGTAATGAGGCGCGCCCCATGACTGGCACATCTTCATGACACTTTCTCGATGCAAATTGTAACACCTCAGTCCTAGCAGGTACCTGTTTTTGCCTTATACATTAGCACCTTCGAATCTAACAGTGGTGAGCGCATCCGCAACGGAGCTTTTTGTGACCTGGGAAGCTCCGACACCCAACGATCGAGAACTTTGCAGATACGAGGTTCTTAAGAATAATAAGAGGTGCCCACGTGCTGATTCCAATCACTGCTACTATAAATTTACTGGACTCTCAGCCTGCCAGTCCATCAACATCAGCATCCGCGCCTGTGCTGGAGGAGACTGCGGTCCCTTTGCTAACCTGACAGCGTCAACAACACCTCAACGTAGGCTTACAACGATCATTATTTGGTATCAGCTCAGCCACTTCAACATTTTATAGCCCACTTTGCTTCTTATTAACAGCGTTGCAGGAATTAATGGTCAAAGCAGTAACTTCCTACACGGTGACATTTACGTGGATAGAGGGATCACCTAATAGTTGTGGAGTGGTCAAAATGCGGATGCAAGTGTGTCAAACTCACCATCCAGACTGTTTATTTATCCACGAGTGCAAAAATGGGGAGCGTGATGGAGTCCAAACTTGTAGCGTGGGCGATCTCTCTGCCGATGAAGACTACATAGCAACTGCTTTTGTGTGTTCGGAACCGCAATTCGGATGCAATAGCGCCACACCTCCAATAAAATTTCGTACAAATCCTGGTCATGCGTCCATGCACAAATTGCATAAACTTTTCCTCTTTTTAATGATGTAGGTGTTAGTTTTGTGCTTTCTTTACTGAAATTTTAGCCACTCGGGTGCGGAATATACTTCTGGCAGTTTTCATTCCTCTGATCATTCTACTCCTCCTAGTTCTTCTCTTTGTTTTCCGCAAAAGAATTCCATTCCTTCGAAATTTACTTGCAAAGAAGCCGCATGCAAAAAATGCCGACCTGTAAGTTTGCTTCTGCATTCAACTTCGTAGAAATACCAACTCTCAGGACGATAGGGACATAACGTTTTGACAGCGCACGAGATACCACCTATCATTTACTGCCCTTCCTTAATTATTTTACAGGACTCTCTTTCCAATTGAGTACTACACGCCACCCGGCCCAAGGAGACTAGCGAACGTGTGAGTCTGATTGCTTACTGTTTGGACCGAGGTGATGACCACTTGGTGAAATCAGACAAAGCTCAGATTACAGTAACGCAGGTTAGAGGTTGTGTCTTCTCACCCTCGGTCTGAGTCGACACTGCCTCTGTGTCAGTGTTGCTCGTAAGGGTGCTGCGAGAGGGATTTCCAGACTTTAACTTCTGGACACCAAGACTAGCGAATCGTTTAGGGAAATGCAGTAGCCGATCAGATCATTGGTGTGGGAGTTTTGCCATAAAATCGCTCTTCTCGTCATCAGATACGGAAGTCTTTGCTTAGTAATCAAGGTTACGTCTAGTTTTAAAAGAAAAGACCTCTATTAGTTGAGGCTGTAAATGTGGACGCAAATGGTTCAGCCACAAAATAAGAAAATTTAGTTGTTGAATACTCTTTCTTCTTCTTCTTCTTCTTTGTCTTCCTAGACCACTTCCCATTCCAGTAGAGAATTTCAGAAATAGCCTACAAGCAATTAATGCTGTGAATGGGTTCCCATCCCTCTCCCAGGTTGGTCATAAAACTGGAAAGCTGTTTAACCTATCCTTCACTCTTCTCCTCCAAGTACATAGAAAGTGGGCATTATTCTCTCTCTCTTCCACATAGGCACTGGCAATTCTGGCAGTTTCGGAAATTAAAGAAAAATATCGCTTGACTAAAATGGCTGCTTTGCGAAACGGAATTCGCAACCGCTACAGCGACATACTTCCATGTGAGCTTGGGCCCTAAAACATATTTCGTATGCATTGTTTAGTCCATCTACCCGACTCGTTTGCCTTCACTTCAGATGACCAGTCTTTGGTACTGCTTGGCCGC